ATTATGTTATTTTGTAATATTAATTCCAATTATTTCTAATAATTTTTTCAATAATTTGTCATTTCCTTGAATACTGATCAAATTTATTAATAATACAAATAATTTCTTATAATCTTCCTTATAAATTATTAGTTAATGAAATCTAGATAACTAATGTGTTATCGAGGAAAAAAAAATTTGTAAGACTGTAAGAATCTTGCAGTGATGGTCTTGTTTTGGTCTTGGTCTTGCAGCTTCGATATTGGTTTGGTCTTGTTCTTGCAAGCCTAATCTTGGTCTTGGTCTTGCTGGACCAGTACCGTCTTGGTCTTGGTCTTGGTCTTATTCTTAATTATTATTATTATTAAAAAAATAATAATACCTTTGTAAAATTGTTTACGACAGGGTTTATGACAAGGTTTATTACGACAGAGTGCAATAAAAATTATAACTAGGGCTGTGATTTTAATGCACTTAAAATATGTATGCATTTATGCACTAAAAACATAAAAAATATGCAAACATTTTAAAAATAATGCTCTATAAAAATGTCCTCATTAAAAAATAAAGTATTGATATTAATAATTAAAAATAATTTACAAAAAAAATTCTCCACAACGTGTGACTAACAACCACGTGACTAAATTGTTATAATAGCGATTACTATTTTATATTTTTAATTTGTATAAGATTACGAATTATAGATACGGAGAATAGTAAGTTTCCCACGAGAGTAGAAGGTAAATAATTACATACATTAGTTCCTACACGACGGAAAAAATTGAATATGTATATAGAATCTTCAAAAAGTCTTCAAAAAAAACAATGCATAGAAGTGCCACAGCACCAACAGGCTTATCGTTTATTGGGTTATTTACTATTGAAACATTGAAATATTCAAATACTATATTAGAGTATAATATAGTATATTAGAGTATCTTATATAAACCTCATAAAATATAAAATTTTGCACTATACGATTTTTATTGTATTTTTTTCATCATATATTTATTTTTAAAAATTCGTAGATACATATTTAAATACATATTTAATAGTAGTGTATATAGTGTATATACATATTTTTGTTATGTATATTATTTTTTTTTTACCTAGTTTTTACCGTGTAGGAACTTTCATTCGCCCATAGATACATACAGTTTTATACACAAGGGGGCTATAGAGGTTCCCCCCCTGAAGTTCAAGACAATTATTAAATATGTTTCTATAGAGTAAAAGTAGTATATAGATTATATAAGCATGAAAATATACAATCTAAGTCCCTCCTCTAAAACACTTTTTTTTAAACGCGTTTGGGTACGGATTTCTAGATATCAGAACAATAATGATTATTATTGGGAAATAATTTATGCTCATCACTACTACTATATGTATAACACAATAATATAATATATGTAAATTGTATTTACTATGTGTATTATAGTACAGTCACAATACACAGAAAATTTAATAAATAATTCTTCACATGTAAACATGTAACTATGGCATTAATAAACATTAATAAATTACCTAAATTTTTATTGAAATTTAAAATAAATTTAACAAATATATTCGTCAGTTACGTGTCCGATTGACTGATAAAATTATAAACTTTACTAAAATATAAAAGAAAAGCGTGAAAACGAAGAATCCGTGAAAATATGCATTTATATGCCATACCCCCTAAATATGTAAAAACACTCAAATTAAGATTATATTAATAAATATAGATATTTAATTCATAAATAATACAACACACATTTTGGCTGAATCCATTTCCTTATATAAAGTAGCAAAGAAAACATGCAACTGCAATAAATGTACAGCCCTGATTTTTAGTTACTTAATTTGTGAAATTTCAAAACAAAAATGTAGTATTACATATCATTTGTGTTAATGGTTTCTTAGAAGTGTCTAATAAAACGTTGAGTCTGTAAAAATGTTATATTTCTATAGTATTGCATACTAAGCTATTGTATTTGAGACCGTTATGGAGTTGTCGTTAATATGTACCTATATCATTAATAGTATACTTCAACAAATAATTTATTAATCATATAATTATTCATAAAAAATGTTTACAAAACAATTTTTATTATGTACTATCATAATTCAATATTAGATACAGATAATTTAATTATTTTTTTATTATTACACTCTATATATATATTAAATAAAATGAACAAGTATATCTTGAGTGTAAATATTTAAACTAAGACTTCACTTGGTATAAGAATTCAATTTTATATAATTGTCTTTTGATTTATTGTGTACCTATTAATCCATTGGATTATATACAGGGATTGGTTTTATGAGGTTAAGATTTTAGAACGCTTAATTTTTAACAATGTACCAATCTATAAGGATTACCTTTTATATAGATCTTATATACATTACCTTATGTAACGCTGTGTCCAATGTGAACGCGGCGAACGCGGCAAAGGCGTTGTAATGCGGGCGACGCGGCGAATAAAATTATCAAACATATAAATAAAGATTAAATTGTCCAACGTACGCGATAAACGCGGGTGACGCGAACGAATTAATTCGTTCGCGTTCGCCGCACGGTTTGAAAATTAAATTGTTTTGTTTTTGGTCGCGCGTCAGACCTCAAAATATTTCCATTACAATTTACGATTTATTATTATAAATGATTTTTTAAACATTTTTATACAACTATTTTATAATACGAATAGGTAAACGGGTAATATATATTATTAAATTATAATATATAGTATTTTAACTATAATAGTATTATATATTTATATATTAGATATTGTTGTGTGATCAATATGGAGCTCATTATATCTGAGGTACAAAAAATGAATGTGTTCTTTGGAATAAATGTAATACAAAGTATATTAAATATTTCACTTCAGCACTTTTCAATAGGTATTAACAATTGTTTTTCAAGACTAAAAGACATTTTTAGTTGTTTTTGTTTTTAAAAGAATAGAACATAAACGTGTAAAATATATCACATAACCTTTGCATAACTCACTTCAAAATACACTGCATGTAAAAAAAAGTAAAAATATCTGAATATGGTTTAGTCGCGTTCATCGCGTACACGTAGGACACTATTGCGAGCGGTGAATGCGGCTAACGCGAATTCGTTCGCATCTGCCGTAATTTGCGTTCGCCGCGTTCACGTTGGACACAGTGTAAGATTATCTTAAGTGACATACTAATATGAATTCCTAAATTGGTTCTATATTCTAACGATAATTTTTTTTCAATTTTATTTGAATTTATTTATAAATCTGCATACTAAAAGTCGAAAAATATCTAATGTTCATTAGTTTACTATGACGTTTGTTTTATTCTTTTATATCTATGTACACGATTTCGACCAAAAAAATTGTTTCAATTAAACCCGTACGCTTGATTTCATAATGGGAGAAGGGGATTAGAAAATATATATATGTATAAAATAGATACATCAATAATTAGTAAATAGTACTATATACGAGTATTAATATTTACTATTCATTTTTTAAGTACCTATATTAAAAGTTTTTTTTATCAATACTATAAAATACAAATCATTGTTATAACAAATTCACTCATTGAATGGTTAAAATAATGCATTTAATACTTGGTTGATATCATTGTTTATATAATTCAATATGTATATTTAATTATGCCTTTCTAATTAAGCAATCTTTATCCATTAATGATCAAAGGTAAGCTTTTAGTCGAAATAACGTTAGAAGTGACATTTCATTAGTCGCTGTAGTCACAAGCAAAACTGACATACTTAATATTTTTAAAATTTTTAGAAATGCATCTGCATTACAAATATCGAGTGCATCAAGAACGTTTCGAATATTTTTATTATAAATAAAATGATAAAATATTTAATATAATCAATCAAAACTGATAAACAGGATTTATATTTTTTCGGTAATAGGAGGCGGGGATTAACTTTGATACGGCACACTGTTTTTCCTCGGGTGACTACCGATCAAGACAATGGATGTTCGTAGTTATCCTTGTCCGTAGTAAAATCCGTTGAGAGAGTTGACGAGAGTCCATGACGTAGATTTTTACGAGAATAGTGGTAATCCGTAAGAGTATACGTGAGTCGGTGAGATTGTGTTGGTCACGTCAAAGCTCGCTGTGATAGCATGATGACCCAGTGGGTACATTGTCACCAGATCCTTTCACACTCTTTCAGCTGTTGGAGTGATGGTAGCAGGTACTCGAAGTATATATCAATATTATCTCTGCCCGAATCTTCCCTATCGACTCGTCTCGACAGAACCATGTCAACCTCCACCCATCCCTCGGTTATGGACCTGACTCCAATTACCATTAAATTAAAACTAAAAGATTGAAACTGGGTACTAGATGGTACTCAGAGGGGTTCTTTTTTTGATATCTCAACAGTTAAAAAATTACAGAGAACTTTAAACCAAGATTTGAACCCTCACTACTAATAATCGAATGTTTTCACCCAATTGAATTGTGCGTCATTAGTTAACCGTAATACTTTCAAACCTTTCTTTATATTGGAAGAATCATATAATTTGTTTTTAAATATCATCCTTTTCGATCTCTGAGTTTTATAGTTATTTTATTTTATCTTATCAATTATTGAAACGCTGTCATAAGTCTTTAAAAATACTCTATAATCCTATTCAGTTACATTTACCTGTATTTCACTTAATATTTAGTACTTAAAAAATGTAGTTTTAAATTTTAATGATATATTATAAAGTTTTGCGAAGATAAATAACAAATGTACAAAAATATGAAACAGAAAAAATATACTTGTACTCATATAAATAATTGTATAAAAATCTACGTTCTAATTTTATATTAATATATTATTATATAAGATATATTTAACAATTATTGATATTACGTTAAGAGGAATGAAACGTCAGCACGCTACATAAAATATCTGTTATTAAATTATCTTTAAATTCATCAAAATTCTAATTATTTTATAAATATATTAATTTTACTACCTTTTTGTTACTTTGTATTGTTTATTAAAACTTATTTTATTTTATCAGATGGAAAAACTCTCAATACATGTTGTGGAGCCGATCAACTTAAGACATTTGACATTAGTATTATACAGGCTGCGAACTTTTTACATAGATGTCCATCATGTATGAGGACTTTCGGGAGATTTCTTTGTGAGTTGGTATGTTCGCCGGTACAGAGCCGTTACATGAACGTCACCAAACTGACAAAAACAGGTTAGTCATAATGCAACGATACACATTACAGTAAAAATAAACAGTGAACAATTTTAGAAAAAACAAAATGTTCAGACAGTCTTAATTATTTTAACGTGATTCATGTTTTAAGTTGGAAATAATGAGAAACATGTCATTTAATCTTATCTTTCTTATTTACAAGACAGTATACGTAAAAAATATTTATTTCTACTCAATTAGTATTTTGTAAAATATTAAAATAAGATAAAACCACTAAGGATTCATACATATCTAGTTATAGTAACACGTTATAAAAGTTACACATGTATAATAAGCATATAAGAAAAACGGATTCTCGTGTATTGTTTTTGCGCAACCTCCTGTCGACTATCAAAACATATTATTAAATTGAATAATAATGTTACCACTATCATTAAAATATTTCATAATACACTTAATTAATATTTCGCTTGTAGGCTTTTCAATCCAAGAGTTGGAGTTTCACATAGCCGATTCATACATGCAAGGCGTTTATAACACGTGTAAATCCGTGTCGAACCCAGCTACTGGCGAATTGGCGATGGACGTTTTATGTGCCAAAGCAATAGACTGTTCTGCACGAGAGTGAGTTAATATATCAATAGATACATAGTAGCATAAGATATAATAGATAATAATAGAAGATATAATAATATGGTAGTATATGATTAAATAGTAATAAATCTATAGTTTATAATCTGTGGTAGTATGTTACTGTTATTACTGTATGTTATGATTTTACATAGTTGTATATTTGTACACGTATTATAAAAAATTACTATCTTCTATATAAGAAAAAAAAAAATAAAAAAATATTATTGAAATGTAAATGATATAATCAGTGCCGCAAAAACTGGGTGTGCAGAGTGTGCCGCGCACACGGGCTCCAAGGCTTACATAAATTTGGAGAGCCCCCTAGTCCCAGCCTAAAATAAACTACACTTTACAAATATACAATTATTTAATAATATTATTATTTTATAATAAAAAGAAATTTTTTAAAAATTCAGGTAAGGATGTCATAATATTTTAGAGTAATATAATGTTTATTTAACAATGTCCATTGAGTATTTAAGTAGGTATAAAACATATCTACCTAAACTACTTAAATAATGTTACTACATAAATATGTAGTGAAGTATAATTTACAACAGCTGTAGGTATTTCATTATATATATATATATATATATATATCATACACTAACTGATGTGAAACGTATTTTAAAACCTAAAAAAATTGATACTTATAAATAGAGCGCGGATTTCTATGTAATCGCATATTTTTTTCCTTTCAATACTTTTGGATTTTTGTCAGTTATCTCCACGAATTAACATAATTTGAACTAATGGTGAAATTTTTTTTTGCATATTTCTGCATATTTAGAAGTTATTGCATATTTTTGCATATTTTGGCAAAATTCAAAATTTATTGCATATTGAAGTGAAAATTTAAAAAAAATTTCATAGTCACTAAATAGTAATTTATATATATATTTAGTTATAAAATAAATAATCGATTACGACGTAAACTTAATCGCTCTTGCTGTGTCAGTCGATTATCGACATACCACTTGCTTCAAATATGCCCCAATAACTTCGGTTGACATCGAGGGTTCGTTTTCAGTCTTTAAAAAATATGTTAACCAATAAACGACACAGCTTCACAGAAGATAAATTTGAAATGCATATGATTATTTATTTATTTATTTATTTATTTTTTTTTTTTTTATTGGTATAGAAAATTACAATCTGTGAAGTGTTACACAATAAGCAATTATGATAATAAAAGTACAACAGTGTCATGAAAACTTGAATAGGAAGTGGCCCACTGGCCACACCTACATTATTTATTATAATAAATAAAATTTTAAAAATAAATTAAGTTCAGAAAATTCCCTAAATTTTTTTGTATTAAGTATTTAAGTAATTAATTTTTATAAGTTGAATTATAAATTTTAAATAAATAAAAAATTCTTTCATATTTTTTACATATTTTCATAATTTTGACTACATATTTTTCACATATTTCCATGATTTTGACTGCATATTTTTTGCATATTTTCATGATTTTTACTGCATATGGCATATTTCAATACTTTTAAGTGCATACAAATCCGCACTCTACTTATAAATAAGACGTATAACAAAAATAAATTCTAGGAAGGGGCCCAATACAATTACCGCACAAGGGCCTCCTATTTTGTAGTTGCGGCACTGGATATAATAGTTATGATCAAGGCTGTGACTTTAATGCATTTGCATATTCTTTTTGCTACACTGCATAATAAAATGGATTCGGCTAAAATTTGTTTTAACTCATTTATGGTTCAAATACCAAATCTTATTTTGCATATTTTTGCATATTGTTGTGGAATCTTAGTTCACATAAAATAATATTAACGCACGATTAATTATTATTAATATATTTATTATTATTTAGTTGTTAATTAATTTTTAATTACAAAATTATGTTGATGCTAGTTCTAATACACAATGCTCTGCTAATTTTTACAACTATAATGCTCTGATCCCATAATACGACTGGGGTTGCCTCTTAGTGTGTTCGCCCGTACGCCGAGCTAGACGTAATCACTTCGTCAGCAGATTCCGTTGGCTCGTCGTCACCTAACACACTATTCCAGACCGTCTAAATTCACATACAATATTACATATAATATTCAAGGGTTCATAACAACATATCATGGATTAGAGTATATAAATGCATGTTATAATTTTTTCATAATTTTTTGTATAAATGATTTTTTTGCGTAATATTTACATTTTTTTGGTCAATCTGTTCTAAATTGACATTAAAATATTAAATGTATTTGTATAAACTATAACTTGAATAGTTTCATGGAAACTATTATATTTTTACTCAGGTATTAACGTGCATTATTGACTATTTTACTATTGAAGTCGTACATAATGGATGACAAAAATCATTAGATAATCTTAAACATATTATTAGTATGCTTTTAGTTTGATGCGATCCATTGACTAACGTGTTTCTTGCTTGTGTTCGTGTATTATTGTTATTCGTTGTTTAATTGATTTATTACACATGTTCAGTAATTTATACTTATTATTTTTTAAATTGCGAAATAAAAATGCCAAAAGAAAAATCATCAGTTGTGCCCCGTTTGAAAACCTATGTTTCGGAATTTGGAAACATTTACAATGAACAATAAAATTATATTTTTTACAGTATACAATATCAAAATAACCAGTGATAAACTTTTTTCTGGGACACAACACATTGCAACTGAAAAACATTGAAGGGGAGTTAATCATGTAGAAGACAAAAAAAAATATCAGAAACTTTTTTCATAAGATTCGTCATCAAAATCTTCATTCAACAATGATTTATCTAAAGCAATGCTCAGTACTAACATCCCACTTAATAAATTGAGCAATACACATTTCAAAAAATTTTTAAATAAAATATATGGTATAAAATCTACCTCATCAAATAACATAACGCAAAGAAAATGTTGATTATTAATACCAGGAAGTTATTACAGAAATAAGACAAAAAGTAGTGAGAAAGAAAATTTGGGTGTCGATAGACAAGAAGATCGTTTTATCGCTCCAGTCATTATTGGCATATCACTCCCGGATCGAGCAGATGAAATTTTTTTGTTAAACTTTGAACATTTAAAAAAAATCAAATCATTGTACAGTATTTTCAGTATTTTAAAATGCTCTGTATTTATTATGGCTTGACAGATTACATCGAAACGACGTATTACTTTTTTAAGTGATTCTGCGCCTTATATGACAAAGGAAGGTGATACATTAAAAGTGTTGTATACAGAAATGATTCACGTAACTTGTACTTCTCATGGATTGCATAGAACTGCCGAAAAAATCCACATTTAATTTCCAAAATTTGATAAACAGGTCACAAATGTCAAACGAGTACTTAAAAAGGCGCCTTATCACGTTGAGAAATCTCATACTGATGCACCATATTTACCACCACCCCCCCCCCCCCCACCACAACTTATTTTGACTCGTTGAGTTACGTGGATTTCTGTTGCAATTTATTCTAGAGAAAACTTCGAAATTGTAACACAAATTATCGAATGTTTTTGATGAAAATTATGCACTTTCTATCAAAAATGATCAAAAATATTTTAAATCTAATGAATTGAAAAGGAATTTTGGCTTACATACATTCAAATTGCTCATGTCTTCCTATAGCTATAACGCGTCTATAAAAACGAGGTATTCCTCTTATCTGAAGCTATTGAAATTGTACAAGATATTTCAACAAAGTTTAGTCAATTAACAGGAACATATGGATTTGCTATTAATAAAATATTACAAACAATTCTCAACAAAAACAAAGGATTTTAAATTATGTGTAATACTTCAAAGATATTAACTAGCGAAAAAGAGAACGTAGGTTTGGATATATCAGAAGATTAAACCAGTAGTGACATGACGTATTTCAAGTTTGCCCCAATGACTTCGTCAGACATAGAACTCTCCTTTTCTTTATATAAAATTTTGTTAGCACCAAACAGGAGATCTTTCAAGTTTGAAAATCTAAAAAAATCATTGATTGTATTAATTGCAATAATTACTTTAAAGGAAAGTATATAGTTTTAAGTAGAAACATAATTTATTATTTTTTTTTATGCTTTAATTGATTTAAACAATCTATACTATATTATGTATAATAAGCTTAAGTGTTAACAATAATGGTTGTTGCCAGAAGACATGAAGGAGAAACCGCCCACTGTCGACACTTCTGTCAATGTTATAAGGTTAAATTAGAGGGTAGGTTGTGCCACTACTTTCTTTTTAGTCTTTTGGGAGCGTTACTTGGTATTGAATTGGCATGATTTTTAGCTAAGATATTTGGATGGTAAAAGAGAGAGTTGTGACAACGAGCGTAAGACTTGATAGCGACTTCTAACATGGTGTTCATTTTTAGATCTGTATGAAGGCTTTGATTGGAAACATAGAAAGGAACTTTTGTAATAAAACGAAATATTTTATTTTAGGTTTTTTTATTTTTTTGCCGAACCCCATATTTGAATGTCATTCTTTCAAATGGGTTCAAAGAGGGTTTTGGAAGTTAAGTTTAGTGTGAGGAATAAGTTTTGATTTTGCGTTAAAGAAAAATTTAAGGGCCCGAAGACGAGAATTGAGTTTAGTTTTGATGTTATGAGTATGATAAGCCCAATTAAATTTTTTGTCAAAATGTATTCCGAGGTATTTTGTGTTAAATGAGTAAGGAATTGTGATGTTGTTGAAAGTAATTTGAGGACAAATTTGATAAGTGATGTGGCAGGATTTGGTTTCGTTTATTTTAACTTTCCAATTTTGACACCCGGTTTCCAAGGTGGAGAGATGCGATTGCAGTTATATAGATGCAATGATTGGGTTTTCATGGGTTGAAAGGATTACTTTATCGTTGACTTATTCGGTAACAAACGTGTTAAGAGAAGTGGGTTGATCAGCTATGAATATGTTGAAAAGGACAAGAGTTGTTATTGCTCTTTGGGGAACTACTGCTTCAATAATGGAAATAGAAGAGAGACTTGAGCAGTACCGATCAGCGAATTGACGGTTTTCGTGATAATATATAAAAAATTGGTAGAAAGCAGATGAGAGGATTTTTTTTTAATTAAAAGAGGAGGTCAGTATGCCACAACCTGTCGAAAGCTTGAACGACCTAGAGGAAAACAGCATACAGTACTGTTTCTTTTCTAGAGCTGAGGCAATTGTGTCTATTATACGGTTTACTTAATGAATTGTGGAATGACAGTTTCGAAAGCCGAATTAAGTGTTAGGAATAATTTTAGAGTTATTTATGATAGTTTTTCAAGTTCCTTTGAGAAAAACGGAAGAAGACTTAAAGGTCTGTATGATGAAAGATTGTCGGGGGGACTTACCAAGTTTGGAAATTACTACTATGATTGAAAACTTCCACTGAAGTGGGAAATAAAATCGAACAATTGCATTAAAAATGTACGTGAGGAATATTAAAGTTTTCCTTCGGAGGTGTTTGGCTACTTCGTCGGTTATGAGATCGAAGATAGACACCTTCCTTTTAGGAAATGTGTCAATTTAATGTTAAACTTCAGTAGGAGAGAATGCTTTAAGGGATAGAGTCATTTGCAGGGGCGAAATAAAAAAAATTGTCAATTTCGATGGAAATAACTGGGTCGTTTATATTACTATGAGGCTTAAAGACATCAGTTAGATATGTTAGAGATCAGATTTTATTGGGTCCTTATGTCTCAGGTATGGTTGGGTTGTTTTAGAGAAGGGTAAGAAGGTTTTTCTTTAAGGGGTTTTTTTTTGTGGCATTCCAGATTGAACAATCTGAAAGATAGTAAAGCTATATCGTAAGTGAATGATTCGTTTCTGTAGTTTGACAGCAATCTTTTTAAATGTGTAGTTAGGGAGTTTAGACGATTTTTGTCCAAGGGATATTTGGTACGTTGCCATTGAGTTCTAGTGCGGCGTTTATCGCTAGTTAAATTTTGTATATGAATAGGAATGTTTATAGGAAAGGGAGGAGTGGGTTGTGATATTGGGGTAGAGTTCCACGCGGCTCTTTGTATCGAATGGTTTAATTTGGTAATAGTGTCTTCGATGTGTACCTTGGATTTAAGTTATATATTAAGATTAGTATCCTTAGAAAGTTGTGGCTGGAATGCGTCCTAATCGGTGTTTTTGTTTGTTAGTGAAGGTTTTTTAAGGCGATTTAATTGGCGGTGAGGCGTTTAGGGTAAGGAGGACAGCTGTATGATCAGAATAAAGATATTCGGAAACTATACAGAAAACCCAATATTTCAACATATATAAAAATTAAGAGAATTAAATACTTTGGGAATGTATGGAAAGCTGATAATGACATAATAAGAAAATTACTAACGGATACTGTTGCATACGATATAATAATAATAATAATAATAATAATAATAATAATAATAATGGACTGTATACAAATTTGAATAATTGATGTTACATAAAACTATTTTATAATAAGATTAACGTTTACGTGAACTCGGCAGTCGACCAGAGAGGTTTTTACGTTTATGCGATAAACGATCAACTGACAACAGGCGGAACGATTATCTATCTCGCCATTGAATATCACAAATAATAAACGAGTCTAGATGATACACAATAGAGACTATACATAAGAAAATACCTGTAGCTAGATCAAGAATAAGATGGAAAGATGCGGTAGAGAAAGACATCAAGTGTTGGGAAGGAATGAGTCAGTTGATACGGCATTAAACAGAGAAAGAAGGAAATGATTACTTATGGCAACTCAGGTTCTACAAGGACCGTTAAGCTAAGAAAGAAGAAAAATTTAAAAATTTAAAAAATTAACCCACCGAATTAACTCGGTGCAATACGATTGCATAATTTTTTCTTTTTTGACCCAACTAATTACACCACGATTGCGCAAAAAATATGCAACACGATTGCGCTTCGATCCCTTTTTACCTGATAAAATCACAACACCATTGCGCACCAAATAATATGTGTATATAATATGTAGGTATTATAATTTATGTACAACATAAAATAACGTATATAATACATACTTTCTATAATGTGCATATACATACACTCAAACTATTAATTCACAAAATGCACTTTTTCAAAATCGAAATGAAAAGTTGATTGAGCTAATGATAGTTATAATAAAAATATCGACTAATGACTATCAGCATACAAAAAAAAACAATTTTATATATATATATATATATAAAATACATTTAGAATACACGTAATTTAGAAAAAAAAAACAATTTTTAAACAAGCCAACAATGATAATTTGTTGATAGTCTTAAACCTGTAATAATTTGGAAGGAAAATTGTGAATTAATAGGTAATAGGTTTGAGTTCATGTATATGAAAATTATATGTAAAAAGTATGTATTGTATACATAATATTATGTTGTACATAAATTATTTTATTTTTATTTTATTTTATAATAATAAACGGGTTTGAAAACCTTTTGAAAATGTATACAGAATACATAATTACAATAAGATCATAACAGAGTATAAAGTTTAATTACAAATAAAGATAGATAAATAAAATTAATTATATTTAAGTCGTTAAAGCATATTAATAATAAAAAAACGGAAAAGATTAACAATAGCAATATTAAAGATCTATAGGGGATCCTCATTGGCCATTAACATTAAACGTCTAATAGGCTCATTTTTCATATAATTTCTATGACATATAGGAACATGAAAAGGAACACTAGAACGGTTTTGACGGGGAGGGACTTTGAAATTAAGTAAGGATAATAAATCAGATGAATCAACTAGACCAGACAACAGTCCATGTAGAAACTTTAAGCAAAGCATTCGCCTGCATTCGGCTAAAGAGACGAGACCTAATTTAGCAGACACAGCTGAATAATCGTGTGGAGGTGTTCAATGCCTAATAAGAAACCATTAGAACGAAGGAACTCTTTCAATTTGGAAAGAGTTATTAGCAGTAAAAGGACTCCAAACAACCATGCCGTATTCTCATATAGGTCGTACTAAAGTACAATATATTAGTTTATTATTATACCTACATAGTATATACACAGTGCTCGAATTGGATTGAGTGGGGGAGGGGGGTGCGCAAGGGGATGGAGCTCCTTTACTATTTTTTTTTTTTTTGCGTACCCCAACTATATTTTTTCACCGGAACGGAGGGACGGTTAACCTAATTGATGTCCAAAATAATTTTTATGTGAATTTCAATTTATGTCAATTGGAAAATGAATTTTACGATTTATAATATCAAAACTATTTTATAATTAAAGATTATAGATTATGATAAGGGACAGTGTCGTCATTTCTGGAAGAATATAAATAGAAATATCTGTGAATTTAGTGTATTATACTTTATACATTGTACGATTTGTTATTAATATTGGCAATCGACGATATCGTTATTTTGAAAAAAATAAATGCCCTCACCACAACCTTAGACTAATCTTCTAAAGCCGTGGCCCCCACTAAAGAGTAAAAATAGATAAAAACAAAAACCAAATATATGATTATATCATTCGATTCATGAGACTGCCTGATCGCCTAATATTACCTATGTTAATTATTATTTTATTTTTATTTTCTATTGTAACATATAGAATGTTGGTATTGCTATCAAAATATATTATACATGGAATTTAAATATTTGTTTAGCTGAAAAGTGGTATTCAAAATAAATTTAAGGTTGGTGGAGGGGGAAGAGGGACGAAGCCCTCCACGGGTCTGTGTCAAATAATTGAGCCCATGGAACGCAGTTTTCAAATCGTTGGACTGAGCTCCTCTACTTAATTTTTCCCAATTTGAGCACTGTATATACACATATTATTTAGTGCGCAATGGTGTTGTGATCTTAACAGGTAAAAAAGGGAAAAATTGTGCAATCGTGTTGCAGCCAGTTAACTATCGCAGATTATCTTTACATCAAACATTTAAAATGTTAGTGATTACATTAAATCCTTTATTATTTTGTTAAAAAGCAACATAAGTTATAAAATTACAAGTAGGTCAATAAAACACATATTTTATATACTTATTTTACATTAAACTATATTTTCTATTATCTCATCGTATTACTTTATTACTCATCGTAACTTATATGAATATATCGTTTTCTATAAATATACTTATTTATCTTTAATTGTAATATTATTTTTAAATATATTCAGTTAGTAAAATTCTCTGTGACAAAATACTATTTAAATTTTAATTATTTTGTAGATGGTTTCGGTTCTTGGGAAACAATCCATATTTGGGGTTTGTCATTAATTATATTTCTAATGTAATAGACGATCGTTTTCATTTATTTAAAGCTCCAGTAATACCATGTAATAAACCGGTAGATGTAAGTAATGAAAAATAATTACTAATTATAGCTCGATACTAATAATTTCAAATTTCAGAATAAAACTTTAGCTTGTAGCTGTATGGACTGCGAAGATAGTTGTCCTTTACCGGATAAAATACCAGAAGTGACAAAACCACTTCAAATAGCTGATATAGATATATTAATTATTTCGTCAGCGGCTTTGTTTTGTTTAATTATTTTAACATTTGCAACCTACGTAATATATTTCAAAAGTAATTATTTTGATTTTAATAACTCTTAAATCATCTTACTCAATTGTATTACTTATTGTAGACATGCTGATAAATAAACAAAACATTGAAAAATACAAGTATATAATTACGGAAAATATAAAAACAGAGAATAGAAATATTTTAGAAACAGTATTTTATCATATTGGAAAATGTAAGTAACTATATTTGTTTTGTATAATGTTTAATGAATAATATGACATTAGGTAAGTGTACAAGAATTATATACTAATGATAAATTGAATTCTATTCAAAATAAGTTTTTCACTCTTAAAACATGTTTTTCTTACTATACATTTTACAGATTTCGCCAGTAGAACACAAATTTCATTTTTGATAGCAGCCTGTATGATTACTTCACTATGTCACGGTATTCACTTCATCAAAATTACAATCGATCCAGTAGATTTATGGTCATCTCCAAACAGTCAATGTCGACAAGAACGTGAATTTTTTAACTCGAATTTTAAGCCTTTTTTCCGAACCACGCAAGTCATCATCGCTCCAAACGGCGTTCCGGATGTAAATTGATTTCGATAATCAAATTATCCATGCCCATAAATTAACATTTTAAAATATATTTCAGGTGAACTATAAAACTTCTCAAGGTTTATTTAAATTTGGACCCGTGTTCAATCGTACATTTTTGCTAGAAGTTCATAAGCTACAACAGCAAATCGAAGCTGTAAGTCATTCAAAACGTTTAAAAACATGTTTCATGATGAAAATTATACACAACATAATATGATTAAAATCATTTTTGAACCAATAGCTAGGCAGACCACACAATGGACTAGAAAAGGTGTGTTTTGCCCCACTTGTATCAAAATTCAGTGGCCCACCAAAAGTTTCAGATTGTGCAGTTCAAAGTGTTTGGGGTTACTTTGGAAATAAACCCTATAAGTTAAACCGTACATCACTAAATCCTGACCGTTCTATAAGCAATTACCTAGACAGTTTAAAAATTTGTTTTCGGTAAGTGCTAAGCTCATAGGTGCAAATCAGGGGGGATTGAGGGGACATAGCCTTCCCAAACTTGGCCGTAGCCCCCAAGTATTTAAGACATTACATTTCAAAATTTTATATTTTATGACTTTTATTTTGTATGATAATAAAAGTAAAGTTGGTTAAAGTGAGTGTGGGAGCAAAGCCCTCTATGGGTATGTTTGGTATACATTTTTCAAGCCCCCTGGTAAAAAATTGAAATTGCGCCTATGGTGAAGCTATATATAAACAAAAGTTAAATAAATAATATTCTTATGTCGATTAATAACAATAAATGTCATCATAGCAATCCGTATAATCCAATGTGTTTGGGACCCTACGGTGGTCCAGTCGATCCATCCGTTGCCTTGGGAGGCTTTTCTAATTCTAGTGATCCGATAACTAAAAATGCTCCTTATGAGAAATCAACATCATTGCTATTGACGTTTGTACTCAACAACCACAACGACAAAATGTTATTGAAAGATGCACTAGAATGGGAAAACAAGTAAATCCTTGACAATAATATACATCTCACGCGTTTCGTCCTAACTTAATTTCACTAATTGTATAATTGATATAGGTTTTTGGCGTTCATGAAGAACTGGACTGAAACATCTAAACCATTTTTTATGGACGTGGCATATTATTCAGAGCGTTCGGTGGAAGACGAACTGGACAGAGAATCTCATTCGGATATATCGACAATAGCAATAAGTTATTTAGTCATGTTCTTGTATATAGTATTTACTCTCGGAAAAAGTAAAATCGTATTAAGTTTCTTCGGAATACTACTCGTCATAGCATCAGTTGCTTGTTCAGTTGGTTTTTACGGACTGATTGGCGTACCTCTGTCTCTAATTGTACTCGAGGTAATATGATAAATGATTATTAGTAAAATTTTGAATATTTTAAGCAATTGATATTTTTGGAGCAAAAGTTTGGAAAATAATTATTTTTTTGAATAAATCTGATTCTAATTGAATTAGTATTACGTAGCTTTTTAGTTCTTTCTTACTTGTTATAATTTCAAACGAATACTGAGCAAATAAAATAAGCATTTATGACAAATGACGATATTAGCTTTCTGTTTTTCATTATATTCGTAGTTAGAGTGAAAAAAATGTAATGATCACATATGTATATATATATATATATTTATTATTAATTTAAAAAAAAATTCTTAATACGAGTATAAGAACAGTTTGAATTTCCAATAACTCAACCAGCCACCTGTATATAGTACATTGTAATACTTATAAGTAATTACTAGAGCGCGGATTTGTATGCACTTAAAAGTATCGAAATATGCCATATGCAGTAAAAATCATGAAAATATGCAAAAAATATGCAGTCAAAATCATGGAAATATATGAAAAATATGCAGTCAAAATTATGAAATTATGCAAAAAATATGCAAGAATTTTTTATTTATTTAAAATTTATAATTCAATTTATAAAAATTAATTACTTAAATACTTAATACAAAAAAATTTAGGGAATTTTCTGAACTTAATTTTTTTTTTAAATTTTATTTATTATAATAAATAATCATATGCATTTCAAGTTTATCTTCTGTGAAGCTGAGTCGTTTATCGGTTAACATATTTTTAAAGACTGAAAACGAACCCTCGATGTCAACCGAAGTTATTGGGGCATATTTGAAGTAAGTGGTATGTCGATAATCGACTGACACAGCAAGAGCGATTAAGTTTACGTCGTAATCGATTATTTATTTTATAACTAAATATATATATATAAATTATTATTTAGTGACTATGAAATTTATTTTTAATTTTTCTACTTGACAAAATATTATTTTATACATTATTTTTAAAATGTTCACTTCAATATGCAATAAATTTTGAATTTTGCCAAAATAT